AAAGCAGTGTCTTTTAGGTAGAACAGGACCTTTGCATCTCTAACCTCAGAAGCTGTGGTTGCCTGAACAAAACTTGGATAAGGTCAAGCCGGTCAGCATTCTAGCACGAAGAGGAGTCATGTCTCTTCCTACACTGGGAGTCTATGGGATTGAAATCAAGTCATTATGCTTAATAAGAGATGCCTTTATCCAAACAGCAATCCCAGCGGTCCTGTTTTGGTTTTGGTTTTAGACAATCTTCTATACCTAGGGCTGGCCTCAAACTTCTACTTAGCTGAGGGTGACCTTGAACATTTTTATGTTTATTTATCTTTTAAATGTGTGTGTGCATGTGTGTGTTTGTGTGTGTGCATGTGTGTGTTTGTGTGCGTGTGCGTGCATGTGCCTGCGTGCATGCGTGTGTGTGTGTGTTTGTGTGCGTGTGCATGCATGTGTGTGTGTGTGTGTGTGTTCCTGAGCATGCCATAAGACAACTTTCAGGAGTTGATTCTCTCCACCGTGTGGCTCCTGGGGATTGAACTAAGAGACAGGATCTCACTATTGTGCCCTAGGCTGACCTTAAACTCCCAATCCTCCTGTCTTAACCTACACAGTGTAGGGATTATGCCATCATAGCCGGTGTCTTCCCGCCCCTGGAACCTAGCTTTTATTCTTAAGTTGGTGTGATGGATTGTATATGCTTGGCCCAGGGAGTGGCACTATTAGAAGGTGTGGTCCTGTGGGAGTAGGTGTGGTCTTGTTGGAGTAGGCGTGTCACTGAGGGTGTGGGCTTTAAGACCCTCACCCTAGCTGCCTGGAAGTCAGTATTCTGCTAGCAGCCTTCAGACGAAGATGTAAAAACTCTCAGCTCCTCCTGCACCATGCCTGCCTGGATGTTACCATGTTCCCACCTTGATGATTATGAACTAAACTCTGAACCTGTAAGCCAGCCCCAATTAAATGTTGTGCTTTATAAGACTTGCCTTGGCCATGGTGTCTCTTCACCGCAGTAAATCCCTAACTAAGACAATTGGTGAGCCCCGGTTTTAGAATAAACAAACAAAAACAAGTTGGAAGCTTTTAGCCAAGCTGTGGTGGTTCGGGCCTCTAATCCAAGAACTCAGGAGGCAAAGGCAGGTGAATCTATGAGTTGGAGGCTAGCCTTGTCTATAGAGTGGATTTCAGGACAGCCAGGGCTACACAGAGAAACCCTGTCTCGAAAAAAAAAAAACCCTAAACTAAAAACTAAACTAAAAACTAAAGAAGTGGTACTTCCCTTAATAGGCTTATATGGAGAAGAGAGACACGCATTTTAAATGAAAAACTAGGTGTGCCCCTTTTCCAGGTTCCCTACTAGACACCCACAGCCTTTATCCTAACGTCATATCCTGAGACAAGTGCGTTCAAATCTCTCCCGGCAGTCATCTCTCCTGTATGGTTGCTCTCACGGTCTTCGTCGACTTTCCCTCTCATCATCTCTCAGGGAAGTTTCTCACCTCTTCAGAGCACAGGAAGACCACACCCTGCCCTGTGGCTGCCATACCCACACATCCCCTGGTCCCCAAAGCCATTCACTAGTTTTTAACCCTTTTTCCCCCTCACTTCACCTCCCTGACGCATTTAAAGCATTGTTTAATATAGTCAAAATATTATATTTATTATACGAGTAATTTCCAAGTATGTACATAACAGCACTTCAAACAAACACTTCAAGTGTTGATGGAAAGGTACCGTTTCATTTAGACAGATGGTTATGGTCGGGTGGCTCACTACCACCTGTGACCCTAGCTCTGGGGATCTGACACCATTTTGGTGGCCTCTGTGGGCACCTACAGTCAAATGCACATACTCATATGGTCACACACACGCATACATACACATAAACAAATAGTAAAAATAAACCTTAAAAAAAAAATCCTAACCAGTCCAGTAATGGTCAGCACTATTTCTCAATCCGCGTGTTGCAAGTAAACTCCTCGTTCTAAAAGCCTAGTCCCGTTTTCCCAGCTGGATTCTCCGGCATCCCTGCTATGACCTCCTTTTGTCCATTCCTCTGCCCTCTCTCTGTCACTCATGCTGCAAGGAGCAGGACACTACAGTGTACTTACAAGCAAGCTTCTGACCATGTCCAATTACTAACTAGGGTTTCCACCCACTAACAGATAGAGTGGCAGCGCCCCTTGTGGCTCAATAGGAAATTACACCCAGCCTCGTCACTCAGCTGTTTTTTCTTCATAGTTGTTTTGGTTTGTTTTTTTGTTGTAGCTCTGAAACACGTTCTCACATAGCCCAGGCTGGTCTCCAACTAGTTATGTATCCAAGGCTGCTCTTTCTTCCTCTACCGCCAAAGTCATAAGATTATAAACCTGCACCACCGTGACAGGTAAATCCCTGGCTTTGAGCGTGCTAGGCAGCACTCTACCCATTGCACCTCCCCACCTCTGTAAATTACATTCCTTTAGGAAATTGGATCGATATTGAAAAAGACTCAAGTCTTTCTTCTGAATAGGTTTATGTCTCTAGTGTGCACAGGCGGTAGAGTTGACTGTGTACCCGGGTTCCTGGGTCCCCTCTCCCGGGTTCCTGGGTCCCCTCTCCCCTGCTCGTCTGCTCTGTCCTCTCGCTGTCTCCCCTGAGAAACCATCCACCGCAGGGCACTCTTCATATGCCATCACCTTTTCCAAAAGCCCTGCCTACATGTCTCTCTTGGGATTGAATCTCTATGTACCCTCTCCTCTCCTCCCACCGTTCCCCAATACCAACAAACCTTCCCAGGATGGAAGTATTACATTGACCCACAAAACAACCTGGCTATGAAGTCTCTGATCAACCCTGGAATCGGTGATCAACTAGACAGCCTGACCATAAAGTCTCTGACAATCCCTGGAATTGGTGATGAACTAGGTAGCCTGGCCATGAAGTCTCTGACCATACTGGAATCAGTGACCCACTAGACAGCCTGGACACCGAGCTTCTGACCACCCCTAGAGCCAGTGAATTAGGCCTCAAAACGCCTGAACCTCCAGCTCATTGTCAAGTAGTTTTCCTTGGCTGTAGATGCAAGCAGACTGGGGCCTGGAAAAAAAGAGAGAAAGGGGGGGGCAGCATGCACAAGGGAGAGAGGACAATGAGAAAGGCCAGGGTCTCCGCACGGCTTCCTCTGACCTAGAAGCTCCTCCCCTAGGAGATCCAGCACAGATGCACACAGTTACAAACACACATAGTTACACACATACGGTTAGACACACATAGTTACACAAAGAGTTATATATATACACATACACACACAAATACATACACACAGTTAAACACACATACAGTTACACACATATGGTTAGACACACACAGTTACACAAAGAGTTATATATATATACAAATACATACACACAGTTACACACACACACAAACACACACACGCACACACACACAAAGAGAGAAAAAGCAGAGACCAGAAGTGCTAACACATGCCTGTAATCCCAGCACTCAGGAAATAGAGGCACCATATAGGTATATTGATAGAAATAGAAACTTTTAAACAATTTAAAAAGCTTAATATTTTTAATGGGTTCTGGGAATCAAATGCAGGTCTTCGTGCTTAGATGGCAAGTGCTTCCCCATTGCCAACTGACCTATCTCCAGTCTGTTCCCACCCCACCCCCCAATCCTCCACCCACGGCACTGAACACAAGTGGGTGTGGGCCCTACAGGGCCTCCATAGAATGATGGGCAGGCTGCTCACAATCCCAGCATCTGGAGTGCCTGTGACCTGTGTACCCTCCAGAGCCCCCAGGGCTATTCAGAACCAGGAGAAACAAAGGGCAAAGGTTGACTGTCTTAGTCACTTTTGTGTGTGTGTGTGTGTCTGTGTGTGTGTGTCTGTGTGTGTGTGTGTATAGACACCATGACCAAAGCAGTATATGGAAGAAATAGTTTATTGGGGCTCACGGTTTCAGAGGGTGAGTCCATGGCCATCATGGCTAGGATCATAGCACCAAGGGCAGACAGTTGTGGTGCTGGAGCAGTATAATTGATAGCTTCCATCTGATGAGTCACAGAGAGAGCTAACTGGCAATGGGTAGACTACCTCAGACCCACCCCCAGTGACACACCTCCCCCAACAAGGCCACACCTCCTAATCCTTCCCAAACAGTTCTGCCAATTGGGGACCAAATGTTTAAATATATGAGCTTACGAGGGCCATTCTCATTCAAACCACCACACTACCTTCAGTTTTACCTGACTTCCTCAGGTAGTCCAGGGGTATGTGGATGGGACTGAAGTCAAAGATGAACATCTAACAGCTAAAGGTGTAAAGGAATTCTGGGTAGGAAACAAGAAGTCTGGACTGTACAGTCAATGTTCCTAGCCCACAAAAATGTTCTGTTCTGTGTGACCTCATGGGCATAGCAACTTCACAAGCCCCGTCCTCAGTTCCAACTCTGTTTTCCGACTCTGAATCAGTGGGTTCTACACTCAGTCTGGCTCTCTTCCCAATCTCCTACCGGTGGGAGCAGGTGACCATCCCACCACCCACAGGTCCTTTCACAGCCTTTGACAGCCTCTTCACAGGCAATCTGGGTTCCCACCCCCAACCGTCAACCTTGTCTTCTCACAGACCCAGAGCTTTGTGCCCCAGAATGGAGGAACCAGTGCAGTCCCTGTGGCTCTGTGGCTGCTGTCACCACCTCTACAGAGTGAGTTCTGGACAGGACCTGACCCACCCAAGCCTGTCATGTGGGCTGGCAGACAAGATCACCACTCTTCCCTGTCTTGACCTTTGTTCACCCTCGGGCTGCAGAACTCTACCCTGGTCTCTAACCATGCAGCCTGGTCCCTGTGTTCTGTGGACTCCTGGTCACCAAGATCCTGGTGCTGTTAACTTTGCTCCCCAGGAACATGGCAGGGGTTGGGCTGGGATCAAACAGTGCAGAGGGCAGCTTCTGTCACAGAGGCTCAGAGCAGGGATCTGCTAAAGAACAGAGGTGAGAAAAAACTCGACAGCCATGGGCAGCATCTTACACTGGCTACTCTTCCAGAGGTCCTGAGTTCAGTTTCTAGCAACCACATGGTGGCTCACAACCATCCATAAAGAGATCTGATGCCCTCTTCTGGCATGTAGGGGTATATGCAGACAGGGAACTCATATTTTTAAAATGCATAAATAAATTTTTACAAAAGTTTTAGCCAGTGGCTCAGGCCTTCAATTTCAGCACTTGGGAGGCAGAGGTAGACAAATCTCTAAGTTCAAGGACAGCCAGGGCTACAAAGAAAACCACTGCCTTGAAAAACAATAAGTAAAAATAAAAAAAAAATAAAAGATATAAAAGTGCCAGGCGGTGGTGGCGCACACCTTTAATCCCAGCACTTGGGAGGCAGAGGCAGGTGGATTTCTGAGTTCGAGGCCAGCCTGATCTACAAAGTGAGTTCCAGGACAGCCAGGGCTACACAGAGAAACCCTGTCTTAAAAAAACAAACCAAAACAAAACAAAAAACAGAAAGAAAGAAAGAAACAAACAAACAAACAAAGAAAAATATAAAAGTAGACAGACAGATGGATGGATGGATAGATAGCCTTTCAAGTCTGAGGCACCCTCCTGCAGACCACATGTCCACCTCAGTCTTTGAGAATAGACCTTTAGGCAGGTGTTTCCCCCACACTTCTGTCCCCTGTGCCCACCCCCCCACCACAACCGGAAATTGCTACAAACACACACACACACACACACACACACACACACACACACTGCACACCTCTTCAGGAACATGCAAGTCCAGGAAGTACCTGTAGCTATATCCTAAGTTCTGAGTGAGGGAGTAGTAGCCACAGGAGGAGATAGGTCATGAGCTTGAGAAACAGGGACATGTAGAAAAATTTACATAGGGTTGGGTAAAAAGTACAAGCCAGCTCAGGAAAGAAGTGAAGAGGACCATGGCAGGCCAGGAGCAGCCTTACTGAGGGCACACCTGTGGGAGAAAGGGCACATTTGTGGGGAGAAAGGGCACACCTGTGGGGAGAAAGGGCACACCTGTGGCCACCAAGAACAGGTGTGACTCACTTCAATAGTTCTTCATCCCAGGGCCTTAAGAAAGCCATGTGGGTTGCACAAGATGCAGAAGGCATCTGACCCAGCACAGGCCACAAGTTCCGAAATGGTGGACTGTCTCCCTCAAACTGGAGCTCCCAGGAGTTCCTCCCTACCTCTGAATTACACAGCTTCAAGAAAAGGCCAGAATTTTGATCCAAAGTCCAGGGTTACACTGCTCAATACAAACCTGAGTCCTTCCTATTAACCTGTTGTTATTAAACTTGGGGGAGACACAGCCTGTGCCCCAAGTCAAGTTCAGCCATCCATCCTCAATACAGAAAGAAAGAAAGAAAGAAAGAAAGAGAGAGAGAGAGAGAGAGAGAGAGAGAGAGGAAGGGAGGAAGAGAGAAAGAGAGAAAGGCTAATAGTGAAAAGCAGAAACAGATTTATTCCATGTGGCTGTTCTAGGAAGAGGGACAACGAGATCCATCACAACCCCTCCCCACAGTCTGTCTCTCAGGTCCTAAGTAGGCTAAAGAGCACATGGAAGCAGCCTCACCCTCCACAACTCCACTAGGACTCCATCTTATCCTGTAAAGCGGTCTGACACGTCCTTAGAGTTCTGGGAACCCCCTCCAAGCCAGCCCTCACCATCTGAGCGCTCTCTCTCTCTCTCTCTCTCTCTCTCTCTCTCTCTCTCTCACCTTGGGCCACCAGAGTGGCGGGCCACCTCACTGTCCCTCCTTATCTGCACTAGGTACCTAAGGTGACTTCTGAATAGGGGCAGAGGGGAGGAAGATGACTGAAGAAAGAGATAAGGAACGGAGAGGCCGGGGCTGGGAAGGATGGTGCATGAGTCTACGCAGACCCAAGGTCTTCGAGGATCAGGAACCCTCTGATCCTGCCACCTCACACATCTGTCCTTTCCCTTGAAGTCTATGTTCCAACCTCAGAGACGCCCTGCAGTATGTAGCCTCAGTTCCTGGACCCCTCTCCCCTTTTGTTGAAGTTTCTGGTAACAATTGGAAACAAGGTTCCATAGAAGACTGCTTGCCCGGCTTTCATAACGACCTGGATTCGGTCCCCAAGAAGGAAGAAACGTTAGCATGAGAAAAGACGTTTAATGTCACAAATTTATTATGCACATGACAGGAGAGAAAATCAAATGGCCCTAACACGGGTGAGCTTATACTCCTACTTGTTGGGCAGAGGTAACACTTCGTGGGAATTCTGGGAAAGGTGGCTGGGCTTAAAGCAGGTGAGAACCTGTGGAAAGGTACGTCTTGGCGGGATCTGCACCTCTCGTGGCATCTTCTGAGAAACAGATGATCTCTTTAGTCATGACACCCTGGGGAGAGGACCCGATGGCAGGGCTGCCCCTGGAAGCTGTTATTACAGAGCTTGAGAGAAAGCCTTCTCCACACCTCTTCTCCTGGGCACCGTCTATTTGAAGATCCACCTTCCAGCCAGAAAATTTGGGAGTGGTATCTCCTCACTCATTTTATCACATCAACAACCCAAATGGACAGTAACAGGGGACCACATCCAGGTACAGGTACACCGCGGCTCAGTGGCTGGGACAGGCCTCTGTTCCCCGCATGTGGCCCTGTGCATTCATGCAGCATTACTGTGAGCCCAGGCTGAGGAATGAGACTTGAGACATGTATATGTATGTGTGTATTACACATAATTTGGTCACACTTATTTGCTACGTAGCAAGAAGCTCTTTCTTTAGAGATGTCTAATGAATTATTTAAGGACAAAATGTCAGGATATCTGCTGCGATTTATTTTAAAATACTTCTGCATTAAAAAAAAATGTAAGAAGTTAAAAATACAGAAGTGAGAGGAGCACCTGGTCCCTGAGCTCAGGAGACAAAGCCCAGGCATCCTGCTCCTCTATGCTAATTAGACAGGTGACCTGCCCCAGTGGATATTACAGAAAAGTGCCTCACTGAGTCAGCTACAGATTAGAACACACTGCCTCCCCCGCCACCTCACAGCACCCCTCTCTCTCTCTCTCTCTCTCTCTCTCTCTCTCTAGCTCTCCTCCCCTCACTAGTAGCCCCAGCTGGCTCTAGGTAGACCAGCTGACTCCTCAATGTCACAGATGGCTGTCTCCCTCTGCTTACCCCAGTGCTAGGATTCAAAGGCTGTGCAACCTCTGGACATAATGGTCCAGCTCCACTTCTGACTCCTGGGTAGCCCTGAGAAACAACACAACTGAGGAGCTCCTGGGCTCCTACACAGCTAATGTTTCCCTTCCAAAGCCTAGTGATGCAACCATGTCTCAGTGCTGCCCTGAACTTACCAGTGCTCAGCAGACCGAAGAAATGGTAAAATAAAACATCTCCCACAAAATTTCCTAGGGGGTTTTCAATCTCTTCTTTTGGCAAATTATGCATACATATTAATAAGGGAAAGATACATCTGATTCTCTCTCTCCTCCTCCTCCTCCTCCTCCTCCTCCTCCTCCTCCTCCTCCTCCTCCTTCTCCTCCTCCCCCTCTTTCTTCTCCTTTTCAGCAAGTAATTCTGATGCATTGGCAAGGGAGGCTAAGGGAGCTAGTGGTCCAGCCAGGCTTCCTGGGTAAAGCTTCCCCACTGAGGCAACTCCATCACTTCCATCCCAGGCCCCTCAGCCCAGACCCACCTTTGCTCTTTACTCTTGGTTTTCTTTCTGCTACCCATGGCCAGCCCTTGCCTGAACATCATCCTGGATATAGCTAGATTCCAACCTTCTCCTTCTTTCTCCTCCCCACCCTTCCATTCCAGTCCCATGCCAGTCAGGTATTAGGAAGGGTGCTATGGAATTTGTGACAGTGTTCACATGTCTGTCCCCCTGTCAGCCCGTATGTCTTTCTAGGGCAGATGGACAAAACCAGGGCCCAGGAAAGGACAGGGGAAGTTGAGTGTGGACTACAGTTCCCTTTCACAAACTTGCTTCAGGGCAGAGAGAGGAAGCTAGGTGAAGAGGTGACAGAAAACCTAGGTATTTCCTGAGACGGCTGAGGAGAGTCAGAACTGAGACATCCGAGGGCCCAAGGGTACTCCACGAAGTTGAAGGGAAAGGCTTCCTAACCTTACCTCACCTTTACATGTTTCTTCAGACATTCCCAGGCTGCCCACTGTCTCCAACAAGGCCTTGAGCCTGTCTCAATTCCTCTGCCTCAGATATGCTCAGGAGCCCTGAGGAACCAGGCCCAACTCCCAGGGATGACATCACTTTCTTAGCCCCTCACTGAAGAACTCAAGGAGAGGGGCTTCCTGGTGGGAAAACCTCTCTCCTATTGCTTCTTCTGGCCTGTAAGGGCACTGGAGAACAGATGCAGGCTGAAGAGAAAGACGGGCAGGACAGAGGAGGACAGAGCAGGAGTGAGAGGCTATATAGCAAAGACCCAGCAGGTAATTCTGTTGTGGGCGGCAGCTCTATAGACCTCTAACCTGAGGCCTGAGGAGACACAGCTGAGCCTAAGAATCAGAGTGAGTTGTCGTGGTCAGGGTTCTAGGCACACAGGAAGATAGACATATCCTACTGGTTACAGAAAGTAACCAGTCTCAAGCACACAGCAGGAGTGAACGCCTTCCCCAGGGAATGCAGGCTCGGACCTGGCTCTACTGCCCTGCTGAACTCCAAGGGGTGAGTGGGGGTCTATTGATTAAACCTAGT